CTTCTCTGTCCACTCTAGCAACTGTGTTCTGGTGTTCATCCCGGGTGTGTGTGTTGGGGGGTGTAATTCAGTGACAACCTTCAAATGCTGCCTCAGTATGGATCTAGAAAGAACTTTGCTCTTTGCTTCTCTGGCAAAGTTTCTGCTGAGCTGTCTCCATATTCCTCCATATTGAGGTGCATATTCCTCAACCAACCATTCAAGAAAAAAACTCCTTCACAGCCATGTGTCTGTTCCATCCAGTATAGCCAGGTATGTCTTCCCAAGTTGGGGTTGTTCATCAGCAACTCAACAGGAAGGACAGGGTAGAACCAGTCAGCTGGCAGGACCTAAATCATTCTTCTCTCTTCTGGGAGTTTACTTCCACAGAGAGTGGGTGGTGTGGGGCAGAATACCATTGGCAAGTAGAGATGGCCAAGCTTTCATTCCTTATCAGACTTTGCACTGCCAGCTGTAGGAGTGTGGATGGGGCCTAGAGTCTCATACTTCCAGGCATTCATAAGAAAGAAAATAAGCCTGTTTGTATTTGGGAGCTGGATGGTGGCCCCCAAAAGAGTCAAAGAGTCAAAAGAGTAAAAACACTACACACATGGGATGGTCAAGTGACTTTCTTAGGGAGTGGAGACAGTAGGATCTTGTCAAGTATCCTATGACACCTAGCTTGGAAGCAGTTCAATTTCTTAAGGGAAAATAACCCAGAGAATAAAAAGTCTGACTTAAGGAATCCATAGCTACTTCCTGGAAAGTAGGAAACAACAACTGGGTAGTCTTTGCTTCCAATCCAATATGTTTATTGCTCTTAAGGCCTTCATTATATGGAATTCAGATCAACTTTGGAAATGAGGCAATCCATATGCCTTAAGATCTATTCTTTCCAAGCTATGGATATGGAACTGGTATGAAAAACACCACCCAAATTCATCCATCCTTACCTGTGCCCTTTTGTACTTGGGGGAAAGAGATGGAGCATGAATAAAAACCATTAAAATAGGAAGTGAAAGTGACCTCCTCCAGGCATGTTTCCTGATGCAGCATTTTGAGTTCTAGCTGAGCTTTGTTCATATGCTGAATGTTGAGTTCTCTGGAGAGATGATCAAAAGTCACACTGACATGTGGTTGTCATCTTGTCCACTGCTGGAGTGTCTAGGAGCATGTCCTTCACCTGCCTCTCCACCTTTTGTATTCTCTTGGTCCTTGTGATCAATGACAATTGACTCTGAGGATCCTCAGTCTGCCCTCTGCTATCTCCAATCTCTTGTGATGCCTTTGTCTGTGAGGCTTCTTCAGACATGTTATCTAAGCGTGATTTGGTGTCTCCTTTAATGGCCATGATTTTGAATTAATCAAGCTTCCTCTATGCAGTGCATTCCTCGGGTGACAGATTCTGGTCAACTGGAACTTCTCCTGGCTCTGAAACAGCTGCCAGTGTCTTGACAGTTTCCCTAGGTAGGGCAAATGCACAGACCATGAATTCTGGGACAATTGATGGCTTGTATCCATGAGAAATTGTGTTCTGATTTTTAGAACATTTTGGAGAGGACCTCATTTCCCTGTTGCTTCCTTTGTGCTTGAAGTTGGAGCTTCTTGGAACCTTGGAGATTGGAGTGTACTTCCTTGAATCTATTTTTTTTCAAACATGCTTCTGGTAATCTCTGATATCTTTGACCGCATCTGCCATTTCTCAGACAGGTCTTTGGCTAGCTCTTGAGTACTGAGAGGAGGAAGTACTTAGGAGCTCAGGACCTGCTTACTAAAAGCAGATATAAGCAGTCTCAGGGTCTTGGTGAGTGGAGGAGCCTGAATGTTTCTAGGGTCTTTTAATAGGTCTTATTGAACATATTCCAGGGCTGATTATATCAGTATGTGGAACCTCAACTTTTGAAGTCTTTCAGCATTTGCATTTACAATTTTCTGCAGAAAGTTTAAAAGCTACTTCATGATCTCTTTGCGAGTATACAGAATGTGGTCACATAATCTTTAATGTTTGGGTTATTAGATCTTCATATGTTCTAGTAATGCCAGAACAGGGCTTTGGGCCACTGACAAGGTCTCAGCTGTTCAGGCATCTCTCTTGAAGTCCTTCAGTGTGTATGGAAGCTGGGGATTCTGTGTTTAAACTCATCTTGTAAGTTCAGGGCTTCGGAAGCCCCGATCTGTCTGAACAGCAGAAGCAACTCAAGAAAGCTCTTGGAGAACGTGTGCTATTTGAAGAATGCTGCAACCTCCAGCCCTTGAGAATTGACCAGATTCTCAGAACTCCTACCAAAACTGAACTTGGTTCAGCAAATTTTCTATTTTAAACTTAGACAGAAGTTGTTGAAGGCTCAAGATAGAGACTTGTGGTCCATGGCCCAAGGTCTCTGAAACTTGTCTCCATTGATCTGTGCGAGTGCAGAGGTGCAAGCCAGTGAAGGAACTGGAGTGATGACTCTCCATTTGGGAGTTGGATGGTCAGAATCCAGGTGCTCTGACCATAGTGGCTTTTTCACCTGTACACCTCTACAGGCTGGGCTTAATGTGGCCAAGCTCCTGAAGTATGTGATACAATAGTTCCAACTACCAAAAATATTGCCCAAAGGCCTTTTGAACCAAGGTTTTGGTTTGGGGTCCTTCTAAGAGCAACTGATTTACCCCCTACCTCCACCTAATCTTGGGTGGGTTTGGTGAGCTGCTCTCACGACAAAGGTGGTCTAAGTATTTACAACCAGTGTGGAGTTCACAGCCTTAAGAATTAGTGAGGTAGGCGAAGAGGTAGTCTGACCACTGCCAATGTCATTTAGGCTTTACCAAATTGTCACTGGGAAAAAGACAAAAACATGAGAGAACATGTTAGAATCCTCTTGGCATCTCTTCTGGATTCTGATACTGGAACATGAATACCACTGTCAAGACTTAATAGCCACAGGCCTAGCATTGTAGCCTGGGAGGAGTCTTGCCAACTTTGAGGAACCTAATTAGGCCTGACATCCTGTCGCAAGAGTCTCAAGTCCTAGAGCAGAATCTGTTATTTGAGTTCACTGTTAATTAATGCAAGACAAATCAAAACTTGGTGAGTGTAGTTGGTAAGCAATCCCCCATGCACTTGCCGAGCAGTGGGAAGTGCTACCTAGAGATGAAGCTGGCAAGGTGGTATGAATAGTTATCAATGAATGAACCTAGATGCCAACCTTATTTGAACCTCTAAACTCCATTGGAACCTGTTTAAGTCATCTTGGCTCCAAGAGGCTCTCTTAAAGGCCAGGTTCTTCATATATTACAAGTTAATTCTCGAGCACATCTAGCCCTCTTCCTCAGGATCTCAAAAATCAGCATTGTATCCGATGTCACATGGTTTCCTCTGTACATGCCAGCAATGGGAGCCAGATACTGCCTGTTTGGACCTGTAAGGAAGGATCAAGCATTAGTGTTCAGAGAAATAAAGCAGTATTCGTTTCAGTGTCCTATTCCGCCATAAAAATAGAATCCAAGACTGGGTGTGTTGGAAAATTCCTTTTAATATACCAGAACTTGGGAGGCACAGAAGGCAAGATGTAGAGTTTGAGGCTAGTCTAGTCTTAACATAGCCTAGTTCTGCACACAATAGTGCCCCCAATCTAGTTAAAGCAACTTAAGTGCTGGGCCTATTTTGAGACAGCCAAAAATGGGGGTCTCTTTGACTCCTGCAAATCATCCATAATTAGAAGACTTGGAGATAACTCTCAAGTGGACTGGTCCAGTCAGCTCTAGAGCTGCAACTAGCTAGGTGTGGTCACATGCTTTGTTTGGTGTGGTCACAGCCTTGATCTGCTATGATCAGTAGTGTCTCCACCACCCCAGCACCCCTCCCCCCACTGCAACTCTATTCTGGCTAAATTATGCCTTGTCATAGAGCTTAGGAGAAAGATGGTTAATTTATAGAAACTCAAATACATCTTGCTTCATTGCCCCTCTTAGAGAAAACTAGATGCAGAGGTTTGAGTTTTCCCCTTGTACTAGACTGAAGACACTGATGTATTCACAAGTTGCTCTTCTCTGAACATGGTGTTCTGCTTTCCTTTTGCTTCCGTTATCTGGTCAGAGGCTTGGTCACTTCCTGTTGTATTGAAATAATTTAGGGAAATCCATCTTCTGGGACTTGTTCCTGTTGCCACCTGTCTGTGGTCTTTGTAAATTATCAAATTATTGCTGGCTGAACCTTTAAATTGAAGTCAGTAGAAATAGCCAGTCATAAAGATGACTTTTTTTTAAATTAGTTCAAATTAGGAACAAGCTGGCTTTAGATGTCAATCCCTTCTCCCTCTTCCTGCCATCCCCCCTCCACTCCCCAGGCAGGGTAAGACCAGGCTGACCTGAACTCACAGAGACCCACCTGTCTCTGCCTCCTGAGTGCTGGGATTATATGAGTGCACCACCACTGCATGGCATTTTTCCTTTTTTGAGACAGGGTCTCTTTTATGTAGTCCTGGCTGTCCCAGAACTTGCCATGTAGACCATCACACTGGCCTGACATCCTGCCTCTGCATCCCCCAATCACTTCCCATACGATTGTCCCTAGTAATGACTAAAACTATTTCAATTTGTATAGTGTTTGCCTTTTTCAGGAAAAAGATGGAATAGAATGACTAGTTTATTTCACTTAGCACAATGCTCTAGAGATTAAGCCATGCTAAGACTTTGCATTGTGTTTTGCTTTGGCTATAGTCCTGGCTGGCTTCAGTGGATGAACGTCATTCTTGCTAGAGACTATCATAGCCTGGGATTACAGGTGTGTGTATATCAAAACTTCTTATTCTCTAAAGATCTTTTAGATAACAATCTACTTTTTCCTCTGTGGTAGGTTTCTTCCCTGCTGCTTTCTTCCCAGCTGCTGGTTTCTTGGTAGTTGCAGCCTTTTTCCCTGCAGGCTTCTTCAGCTTCTTGACATCCACAGGCTGCTTTACTTTCTTACTCTTCTACTGACTTCTGGTCTGCTGCCCCTTTCTCTAGTTTTGCTGCTAGCACTGCTCCTCCTGCTGCTGCTGCTAGTTTCTTCACCCGCAGTTTGTGCTGCAACATAGACAAGTAGGAAATTAAGAATTAAACGCTCAACTTTATATACCAGTCCTTGAGACAGAGGAAGAATCTGTCAGTTTAACAGCTGCCTGGTCTACATAGTGATGCCCAGGACAGTCAGCTAAGGAGTGAGAACCCGGGTGTGGGTCAAAAGACCAACAATGCTTGACACAGCAAATTATGGCTTACATTTCTGGCCTGCGAAGAATGGTATTCCTCCTCATAGTCTTTGCATACGGGTTGAGCTTCAACATTATTCTCAGGTTTTTCAGTGGGTTCTTTTTCAAGACTCTACGATGAATCTTCTTGCTATAAAGAGGGAGCACACGGATCAATCAACCCATACACCTTTAAAAGTCAAAGTAGCAGGCTATAGCAAGAGCTTTAAGTATCAAAACCTTACCGTGGTGCTCGGAGGGCTCTTTGGATCTCTGGGCTTTTGAAGATCCTGCTTAGGTCTGTGTTCATCATCTTGTGCATGGGAAGGCTTGGAAAAAAAGTCAGTAAGTCCAAAATTTAATCTTCTAACTGAAGGTAAATCATTAGAACTGCATTTCCAATGTGTTAACTCTCCAGGTACATACGAGTTTTTACACCCTCAAAAATGGGAAATGTAGAAATCCAATGCGTAATTTAGGAATATATACCTAAATCAAGTGTGAATATAAATATACACACTAAGAAAACATGAACAATAAATATAGGAAACTCACTCACTTGTAATTACTTTTCAGGGAAGCAGCCTTACGCCAAGTCCCATACAACACATCTAACTTTCGGAAGGCACCCTCGGTCCAGATGCAGAAACGTCCCACATGTCCACCAGGAGCAAGTTTCAAAATGTTCAGTTTGCTCACATGGAGCAGAGTAATACCTTCAAAGGCAAGGAAGAATCAGTCTGGATTCAATCGACAGGGGAATACAACTTTATGGCTCATTGAGCTACACAAGGCACTCAAGTCTAATGAATTGTTCAGTTTTAGCTGCTCCGGAATAGGACGCCCATGTGGGATGTGTGCGCGTATGAACCACGCGGCCGAGGAGTTTTATGTTCGTCTTCTGCAGTGAGTCGTGGCCGAGGGATGGAACAGCATCTTGTCCCTCCCGGCCTTTGTGCCTCCGCCCGAGTCTTGCCACAGATGAAGGCTTCGCGCCCTGCCAGCTTTGCTGGGCTCTGGGATAGTCGAGGGCGGGTCTGGTTTGGCTCTGCTGACGCCTAGGCCTGCTAGCCTCCCGAGAAAACCTCAGTACTAGAGCAACAGGGCCAAGGTCCCTTTACTCCCCTTGCTGATGCACCCACTTTGTTAAGGGCCATGGGTCCTAAACTATGGGTTTTAAAGCCCATCTTTGTAAGTCCTTTTTATGACCTTTGAGTTTGCGGCTTAAAGCCAGCTCTTGTGAGCCTCATAGAACCTGTACTTAGACGGTTTGGCCAAACGGAACTGCTAACTGCTTCTGTTCCGAGAAAATGGGCCTGGGGAAGACCACAAGATGTTCCGGCTGATAAGAAGAATGCTCCGGCCCCAGCATACACCAGATGTTCCTTCCTGTTATTCCCCCGCTTACCCAGTTTCCTTGGTGCAGGGCTATATAAGCCCACACTGAGCCCCAATAAATCGAGACCCTGACAATTGCACAGATGGACTCTGGCCCCCTCTTTTGCGCGCTTGGTCTCCTTCCTTTCTCTCGCCCATGACTTTTTCAGGCAGCCCCCCTTCGGAACCCTGAATGACTAGACTCGAGGGACGGGTCACCACTTCTACATAGAGGCTCCCGGGATACGGAGAACTAGATGTCATCCTTCTCCTGCCTTGAGCTTTGACTGATTCCTGAAAAAGAAAAGTCTAGCCGGATCTCTCCAGTTATTACCGTGTGAGCTACATTTGACCGTGGCTGGCTTTAAAATGTCATTGGCATGTAGCCTTACACCCAGTTTTGGGGTTTTTAGGAACAGAATCCAGGGCTTCACACACGTTAGGCAAGCAGTCTGCCCACTGAGTTAATGTTACTAGCCTATATGGTTGGTGTTGCCCGTGTTCATCAACCCCACTGATAATTTACTCAGATCTATTATGCTTACCAATCATTTTCTGAGTGTTTTCTTCCCAATGTGGTATTTAACTCCAGAATTCTTTCAAGTTAAGAGTTCTAAATCTAAGGCTCCAGCTTCCAGCAAGGCGGTAGTGGGGCAAGCTTTTAAATCCCAGCATTCCGGAGGCAGAGGCAGAGGCAGGCGGATCTCTGAATTCCAACAAGAGCTAGTTCCAGAGTAACTCTGCCTCGAAAAAACGAAAAAACAAGCAAACAAAAAAGACTCCAGCTTCCTTCTTTTCACCTTTCCCAGACTCCCCACCCCTTCTGTTGTTTTATTTCTTTGCTGAGGATTGGAGGTTGGGGGTGGGGGCATCTTGTGATGCTACACAAGTGTTTACCAGTAATCCCAGTCTCTTTATTCTTGCCCATCTGCACTGTTCTACTACTTGGGGCCATTATCATCTCTCCGAAAAACTACAAGTCGTTCACAGTTATTTTCCTTCCAGAGTTGTCCATGCCCCCTGACACTTTCCTCTTTGGATTCCTGTCACAACTGGTTTTGTTTGCTATTCCCAGTATCTAACAAGAATGTTTGAGAAACAGATGCTCAATGACCAAGCAAAATCCTTGAATTATATGGAAGGGACAACCATCTTTAAGAGAAATTCACAATCTTGGGCCAGAGAGATGGTCAGCACTTGCCACCAAACCTTATGGCATGGCATGGGACCCACATAGTGGGAGGAGAAAATATCCTACAAGTGGTCCTCTGACTTAAGCAAGCACACATACACACACATATACACATATCTAATAGGAAATAAACAGTGGGGTGTGCTGGCAAATGCCTTTTTAATCCCAGATCTCGGGAGGCAGAATCAGACAGATTTCTGTGAGTTTGAGGCCATCCTGGTCTACCGAGTGACTTCCAGGACAGTTAGAACTGTTACAGAGAGAAACACTGCCTTGGGAAAAAAAAAAAGAAAGAAAGAAAGAAAAAAGAAAAAAGTCTTGTACAATATAACAAATTAATTTATCAGGCCTGTTTTCGTGTTCCTAAATCAGTTAGGCCAAGTCTCAGATCAAAAGAGGCAAACTGCATCCTGAGATAACTATTGAGGTTTTCCAGTACAAAGATTCTTTTCCCTGTAGACCAGACTGGGAGTGCATTTTGGTATTTCATTCTTGTCTGCTAATGGTTTATAAATTATGTAACTCTTAAGTATCTTGTGAAACGGGGCCGAGCAGTTAGTTAAGAGCACCACTTATGGTGACTCACAGCTGCAGCTGTGGTGGGAGGGTCCGGTGTTCTCTTCTGGTCTCCGGACATACACAGACACACGGATAATTCAAATAGCAAATCTTTATTTTATTTTCAAAGATTTATTTATGCATATGAGTGCTCTATTTACATGTATGCCTTCATGACAAAATAGGGCATCAGATCCTGTGAAAATTGTTGGTGAGCCACCATGTGGATGCTAGGAATTGAACTCAGGATCTCTGGAAGAGCAGCCAGTGCTGTCAGGCACCAAGCGATCTATTTTAGAGGGTTTTGCCTTTGAAAGACCCCCCGATGTGGTACTTTCATAGGAGGAGACCCGCACCCAGGTATCAGGGAGACCACGAACTTGGATGCAATTAGCAAGAGGCTTTATTGGAGATGCGGGTACCCGGGGCGACTTAGCTTCTGTGTGGCTAAGCGTGCAGAGCCAAGGGAAAGGGGTCCTTATATAGGGAAAAAGGCGCTAGCTAGAAGCAGGGATTCTATTGGATAATTCTAATGAGGCATTGTACAGAGCTATTCCCATTGGTCAATGTAAATGAGGCGCTATACAGGGTTATTCAAATGAGGAAAGTATAGAGTCATTCAAATGAGGTGAAATACAGAGTCATTTCTATTGGATGGTTCAAATGAGGCACAGAGCCATCCCAGACCCTCCTATCCTCAAGGTCTGGTGTCTGGTACAACAGACTCAATTCCCTCTGCGTCCGCGTCCAGATGGCTGACCTTGGGGGCGGAGACCTTGGGACGTAGTGTTCCTCATCGGGCGGGGTCACGGGGGCAGGTCCCAGGCCGGCTCACTTGGTGTTCGCTCTCGTGCCGGCCCACCTGGTGCTCGCCCTCAGGCCTCCTCTGGTGCTCCTTGCTCGGCCCCAGCCCCGAGGCGCGGTGCCAGGCGGGGGAGGGCCGGGGGCGCGAGCCCTGCCGGGTTGCAGGCTTGGGAGGCCCCGGCACCTCCGCCGCCCCCATGTCCTTGGCCTTGGAGGCGGCTCCCCCCCCCCCGCTCCCGG